TTTGTTTTGCCAAATCATGCCAGGAGTGAACCCTGAGCACAGAATTAGGAGTAAACCCTGAATACTGCCGAAAACAACAAAATACCTTTAATTAAAAAAGAATTGAAAAATAGTATTAAATTTAAGACACCACCAATATCTTACAGTTACCAGATATTTTGTCTTGTATTATCTGAGGTTTTTTTGCTGCTATTGTTGTTCTTCATCAGTCAGTTAATGCTAATGTGTGTTGTTATTATGCCATCACAACAAACAAGGTAATTGATACATTTATCAAATTCTAAAGTTTTTTTCCCTTATTTTGTTATTTTTTTGTGGTGACAACATTTAACATGAGCTCTACCTCCTAATATGTAAGTGCAGCAAACTTAAATGTTAATTATAAACATGGGGTTCACCATACAGTAATAGAAACTTCTTAAATCTGAAAAACTTATCACACAAGTTTTGTGTTTTTTAATGTGAAATGATACTTTGACTCTTTCTTCATGCAGATTCATCTTTGAGTTCCATAGAGAAATATCATTCCAATATGATGTATGATCTTTTTAATGTGCTACTGAAAGTTTTTATCATATTTATTTTCAGGGGGAGTTGTTTTCTCAGCTTTGGTAATATGATTATAAGAGAGTTTTAGGTTTATGATTTTAATATTGTGTCACTGTCCATCACTGCTATCAAAGAGGCCATGATTCTCCACCACTGTCTTTATGTCAGTTCTGGCTCTATCTTCATTGCTCCTACCCTTTCCCTCAGTTTGTTGATTACTTTAGTAATCCTAAACCTAGAGTTTGTCATGCTTTGATACTGTCTGTCTAGTTTATTGTTTTCTCTCTAATCATTCCAGTAAGAGAGATCATTCAATGTTTCTTTTTCTTCCGTTGACTTATTTTCCTTAACATGATACTCCCCAGTTTTACCCTTGTTGTAACAAACTGCATGATTTAATCTTTTCCTTTTTCTGGGCCACGTGCAGTGATGCTCAGAATATGCTCCTCTCTCTATAATCAGACCCTTTGTGGTGGTGCTCAGTCCATGATGACCTCTACACCATACTCAGTTTGTTAAATTCCCATGTGATCTAGACCATGACTGTGAAGACAGAAGGTAACAAGAACTCACAGTTAGACCTTTCCATTTCTTAATTTCTTGGTGAAGTATCAGAGCCAAAATAAGTGGTGATGGTGAAACTTGGAAGCTAATGATGATGCAATTAAGTTTCTCAAATAAGTATAAAACCTTTTCTCATGTTCACCAGTGTCCCGTTTTAGAGGAAGAGAATTAAAGAAAGATAATAGTGAATAGAAGAAAATACAATGTTTGATTTCCCACCTTCAGAGAACTTCTTGAAGGTCATATTCAGAAAATGGTATGGTAGCACAAAAATACCTGGGTAAAACTGTTTCTCTCTTTGTTACTTGATTTTCTTGTTAGACTTTTACAGTACCCAGAATATGAAAGATGGGAACACCTTTCTCCCAGAAATAGCAATACAATATACTGTTATTACTTTTCTAACCACCTCCCTGGGTTCTAATACCTGGTGAAGCAGAATACAACCAAATGAACCTGCAATATCGTTAGAATTTTGGCATGATTTTCCCTCAAAGGAATATCTATACCTCTCTAAGTGTAATGGAATATAGTATGATTTTCCAGAACTTTCTTGGTGTTATCCTGGAAAAAATTCTAATTCCTAGATCTACTGGAAAATAATTAACTCATTAATGACAAAGAAAATTGGAATCACTAAGACCATGTTACTTCTAGTAATACTGCTGGTGCACATCTGAATTACCTCAAAGAAAATGTCAGTTCTAAGTGTGAAAAATTCATTCTAAATTTATGATTCATCAGGACAGTGTAGTCAAACTGAATCACAGAAAACTATTTTATAAATTGTATCCCCTATGAAAATTTTATGGACTTTTAACAAGAGTCACAATAATATCAGCTGGGGACAAGAGGCTTCTGAAGGGTTCTAAGTTCTAAGAGACTTCTAAAGTCTTCCATAACCTCATCACCCTCCATGTCTCAACCATATTTCTCTGGGTCTCTGACTCCAGATGTCTTGTGTATTTCATGGGAAGGCAGAGATGACAGTGGGTGATCTGTATGTCTATAGTAACTTTACAAGTGAATTTAAATGGTTTAATCATACCTCTGTGGAGTCAGTACCCTATACAGGTCAAATTACAGTTTTTCATTTTGTTCTACACCAGATATGCCACGGAAATTCTGCCAGATTTACTAAGCACAGAAACTAGATGTCCTGATGGTAACTTATGACTGAGTGAGGAAGGTAGAAACAATGAGTATGGACAGCTATAACTGAGAGCAATTGAAGGGAAGACATCATGAGGGATATATATCCGTATGAAGAAATTCTCCTTTCCTTTCCAAGAATTACTGACAATTTAAGATAATGCCTCCCCAGTCTGATCAACTTACTCTAAAATATTTCATCACAAATTCACTTACTCATGTTTGCATCCCCCAAAGATTTTGAAATTATAAATAAGCACTAGCATTGACATAACAGGGCATGCCTAGTGGTTCTTATGGCTTATTCTTGGCTTGTGCTCAAGAATTACTTCTTGACAGTGCTCATTACAATATGTGGTGCCAGATCAGATGCATGCAAGGCAAGTGCCTTACCCATTGTACTGTCTCTCAGGCCCTGCAATGGATAGTTTGACAGAGATCCTGGTTCTTCTAGTTTACTTGAACTACAATTTATGAGATGGACCGAATATAAATATGGAGATGTAAGTAAGGCACTTTTGTGTAATATCTACAAGATCTGTATTTTTAAAAATTATACCAATCCCAATTACTTCTCACTATTGTCAGAACTTTCTAGATTTCTTCATTTTGAACCAGACACAATTAATGTCAAATCATCTCTTTCTTTACCCTCACTTTTTATAAAAATTTCTACCTTTCTCACTCTGGACTATTTTTTTTGTAATACATTGCTTCTGTTTTACTTTCATTCCATAATGTACTTCTGACACTTCACAATTTTTTTCTGGCCTAACAAGATTGTCTTTTGACAACATTTAATATAACCTCTTTGAAGGAAGCACTATGGCAATCATAGTTGGAAATGATCACTCTGGATAAAAACTGGATGCTGAAAGTAGGCAAAAAAACAATTCTGATGACCTCTCAGTATCTGCATTGCAAACCATAATGCCCAAAAGTGTGTATGTGTGTGTGTGTGTGTGTGTGTGTGTGTGTGTGATGGAGAGGTGGAGAGAGAGAGAGAGAGAGAGAGAGAGAGAGAGAGAGAGAGAGAGAGAGAGGAGAGAGAAAGAGCCTGCCATAGTAGCAGGCGATAGGGGGCAGAAGGGAAACTGGGACCATTGGTGGTGGGAAAAGTACACTGATGAAGGGTTGGGTGTTGGAACATTATAAGACTGAAATGTTATCATGAACATCTTTGTAACTGTGTATCTCATGGTAATTTGATTTTTAAAAAATGAAAAAATAAAACAAAATAATCTTTGTCTACTGTTGATACATTCTGGTTCCACTATAGACTGGTTATCTGATTGAATAATTGACAATGAGAACTGTACCATAGGAAAAAAATTTAATAAATTGTGCCAAATGGTCTTTCTAATAAACAGCTGGTTATCTCTAAAATGTACAAAAAATACCAAATAATTCAGAAAAGCAATTTGTAGGTATTCATCAAGTGACCTTAAAATACGAATTTGAAAGGTATTTGTGCCACTGATCTGAGAAGCCATTATTTTCAATGGCCAAAACATGAAATTAACCTTAAAAATTCCGCCTTCTATAGATGTTTTCTCTGTGCAAATGAATAAGCACAATTAAAATAGCATCTGTATGTTTAGTTTAAGTTAAGTATCTTAAAATTCATTAAAGAAAACAAAGGGCTGGGATTAATTGGCTTTGCTCGAGGCCCTCCCGTTGATCATCGATTTGCTCGAGCGGGCCCAGTAACGTCTCCGTTGGAAACTTTGTTGTTACTGAGTCTGGCATATCGAATACTCTGGGTAGCTTGCCAGGCTCTCCGAGAGGGACGGAGGAATCGAACTCGGGTCGGCCATGTTGGCTGCATGCAAGGCAAACGCCCTACCTGCTGTGCTATCGCTCCATTTTGGAAATTTTGTTTGACTATACACTCAAAAAAGGAACAATTCTGCTATATAGAAACTAAAAATATAAAGGTTTAGAGATTATCAGTATGAAAAGATGTGATAAATTATGTAGATTTTTATCAATATACAAATATTAATTGGCTATCTTCTCTTAATAGGTGTAAACAATATTCCCTTCCAAAGAAAAAAAATAACTTACTAATTTCACCACATAATTATTGACCCATTTTTAAAACACACCAGCACATTTAAAAAAAAAACACTTCACATAATGGTTACCCTGCATTTTTATGACAAATTATTTGCTCTTGAATCTGAGATTATACAGTGAAATAGTGTACAGTATCTGATTGTTTATATAAAATATTTTTTCTCAGTTTTATGTTTAGGATATTTATTATACTTTCATAGAATAACAAAGAGGAAAGAGGAATATTTCCTTCCCTAATATCTATCCATTTACACATCCATCCATCCACCCACTCATCCATCCATCCATCCATCCATCCATCCATCCATCCATCCTTCCTTTCATTTGCCCATCCATACATTCTTCCATGATATGGATTTGTTTGGAACATATATCTTATTTCTTATCACATAAAATTATTCCTTAAAATCTTGCTACAATAACAGTGTACAAATGCACAGTGTCATCTAAATCATTTATATTTCATTGTTTGAACCCAAGCCAAGTAAAACAAAAAGAGGGAAGGTCAGATGAGGCTTGAGAATATGATAAGGATCACATCAAGTTGAGGGTTTGTGGAAAACATTTGCTTGCAAAGTGGTGTATCTTCCTTCATCTTGAAACCATATAAATGATGTGCTGCATGCCTAACTCAACTTGATGGCTCTCCACACCGCTTAATACTTGAACTTGCAGACATAGGGTAACTTAGCATCACAGTTATTATCTTTCCATTTCAAAAAATCTAGAGAGAAAAAAGTGCTAAATTAAACCTATCTCATAGGATTTCTGAAACAGAAAAGCATTCCAAATTCTAGTTTAAGTTCAAAATCTCAGACTCATCCTCATAGGACATTTAGCTGCTTAATTGATAGGGGTTTCCAAAAAATAAAGAGGGGGTGTTATAGAACAATTCAACATTGAATTGTTCAACCTTCTCAACAAGATTTGGGAAAAATCAGATTTAAAAATGGGTATTAAGTGCTTAGAAAGATTTGGAATAAAGATGGTCCTCATTCATTCTGAGTTTTGAGTTACACTTACCTGAGTTTTTGGTTACACTTCCACAGTAGCCAGAATATGGAATTGGGGGATTTATCTCCCAGGCATTATAGTTCATCAAATCAGTACTACTCCATTCCCATCCACTTCCATAAGGTCGGAGGCCCTAAAAGGCAGAAGGTAGAGCAAAATGTACAAATGGATATTAGAGATTTCATCCTCATATATGTCCCTCAATAATCACCCAATAACCTCCCTAAACATCAGGAAACTTGGTATGTTATTTCAGAAGCTACGTTAGATCTGTCTTTTGGGAAAATTTCCCTAATTCTTTGCTGCTACTCTTGGCCAATCACCAAAACAATAATCAGAATGACCACTGGAAGTTTCATAATAACATATTACACGTGAATAGTAATTAATGGTGTATTTATATGTAGCTTTTTAAGGGGAAAGACAAAGTACAATTTAAAGACAAAAATTGTGGCAAAAGGGAATGTCCTGCCACAGAGGCAGGGTGGGATGGGGGAATGGGAGGTGGGAGGGATACTGGGACCAGTGGTGGTGGAAAATGGGCACTGGTGGAGGGATGGGTGTTTGATCATTGTATAATTGAAACCCAAGCACAGAAATCTGTAAATATACAACTGTTCCTCATGGTGTTTCACTAATAAAAATTTTTTAAAAATTGGCTAATGATTTAGAATTTTCTCAGTATAGAATGTACAAAATCAGTGATGTCAAAGCAATAAATAACAAGGCCATTCTACAAAATGTATAAATATTTGATAAGAGGGACCAGTGTGATAGTACCACAGGTAAGGCACTTGCCTTGCATTCAGCTGACCCAGGTTGAATTCCCCACACCCTTTATGGTCCCGGGTTTTTCCAGGAGTGATCTCTAAGCATAGAATCAGAAGGAAGTCTTGAGTATCTCTAGATGTGGCCCCCAAAACAAAACAGAAAAATCCCAAAATATAATGAAGGTTAATGGGACTTCACCTTTCACCCAGGACTTCCATAAAACTCAGGTTTTCTATTAGACACAATAAAGGATTTTCTTGGAATCTCAGTGAATGTCTGAACTTCAGGGTTTTCTAAGTGTCCTGGATGGTGATAGAACTTGTGGAGTAACTAAGAAAAGATGGAAATGTCACCTCTGAGGGATCATGGAGCCCAATCCACACATCATAGTAGCTATTCATACTGTTCTTGATCAGGGCACTCAGGAAGAAAGCTTCAGACCCACTGGTCACAGAAACAAGGTGTCCTGAGGAATACTTCTGGCAAGCAATCTGTGTAGGGAAAGATAAATGAGGAGGAACTTCTTATCTCGGGGGATAATCTGGCAGAGAGAAACTGAGAGTTGATGCGTTTAGAGAGCAAAAATCCCTCCATATTATCTAATAAACACTAGTCATCAAACACCTACATTGGCATCCATCCAGGAAGCTGGATTTACGGATAAGATATAGCAGTTAGAGAAATACGTCACAGACTCTGCTGGACAATTGAAATGTGGAAGGGTAAATTCCTTCTCAAAGTCGCCACCTAGAATGGAAGAAATGAAAGAGAGAGATGACGTAGAAGGAAAACTGGAGTAGGAATATGGCTCACCTATGAGGTTAGGTTTGGTGATCTAACAATGATACCTTCCATTTTGTGAACTCTTTTAAATTTTTTTGATTCTTTCTCAGGTTTACTAAACATGACACTTTTCCTTCTTTTGACTTTTAACTATATAAATTCTATTTCCCACTCTGGCTTTACTTATAACTTGTACAATCATTTTCCTTCCACATAATTACTTCAAATGCTTTATTTCTTCCATCTAGTTCATAGAGATCACTGAAAAATTCATAAATGATCTTTAATCTTAATGTACCAATATTACACACTCCCACCACTAGTTATCAAAAGGAACAGTGAAGATAAAATATTTTCAAGTTGCTTTATTTGGGCAGCATATACTACATCTTACAACATCTGTCACAATCCCGTCACCCCCTCTTTTAACTGAAAATGCACAATGCACTCACAGACAGAGGTATGGATTTATTACCTTGTATCTGAGGTAAGGCTGCCGAGAAGAAAAGCAGTATCCAGGACAAACTGGTCATGGCAACAGAAGGCAATATTGACTATGATGTAAAAAAGGGACTATAAATTGTTAAAGGAAACATATTCAGGTAAGAAAGTACAAAATATTATTATAATTTTCTTATGTAGTCTCTAGTACCAAATCAATTTTGGTGATAACCACTGTTTCTATGACTCTGTAAAGAATTGGAAAATCTGTACATCTAACTGTCAAATACCTAGCAAAATAACCTTTACTGTATTTCAGATCACCTACTTTTGCTACCTATAGGGATCATGCTTAAATCACAACAAAAATATGAAATAAATCTTCTATGGGTATTATTGTCTAAGGTAAGAATTATAATATTTTAGATATGATTATATAATTACATTTAAAAATATTTCTTAGAGACACAAAATAAATATTTTAAGACAAAATATATTATTCTTCTCATAACCATTTCATAATCATCATGTGCTACAATACGAAATATAGAGTCCAAATATCAGCAGTAGGGCATTTGCCTTGTGCACAGCCGTCTCGGCTGAGCCAGGTTCGATTCCTCTGCCCCTCTAGGAGAGCCCGGCAAGCTACCTAGAGTATCTCACCCGCACGACAAAGCCTGGCAAGATACCTGTGAAGTATTCAAGATGCCAAACACAGTAACAACAAATCTCGCAATGGAGATGTTGCTTGAGCAAATCAATGAACAACTGGAGGATTGTCACCGTGACCGTGCTTGATGGTTACAGGTATATACATAGATTCACTGTGTTATTCTTTTTGTATAAGAAATTCTAAAATGTAAGAATGATGAGACCATAAAAGTAGGAATACATTCAAATTAGAGTATATCCAAAAGGAGAAAAACTAAATAGTAGCTGACTGGGAAAAATGCTAAAGCAACAGAAATACTCTGGCTTATAGTTTCCAAACAAAATAACTTCCCCTATTAAACTCTATGTACAAACAACAACTATATGGTAAGGGGGGAAACATCTTAGTGGTTCTGCTCTGCTCATGTCTAGTATGTAGTTTTATCTTACTTTTCTCATGGTCCTTGGATCACCACTGCTTGTGGTTCTTGGTCCCCAAATATTCTCAGACAAGGAAACTCACCTCAGGGCTGAAGCTTTGAATTGATAGAGAGTAGCTGAGTGAGGGTCCTGGGTTCCCCAACACTGTTGGGAGTGTACACTATGGAGGGGAAAAAGAAACACATATAAGGATACTTGAAACTAATGGATAATTCAAATCACATTGTAGGAAACGTTATAAAGTCACTTACAGACACTCCTAACAACTACCCAGAACTTAAGAGTTATGTCACAATATACTCAAAGTTCTAACTGAATTAGAATTTTCACATGAGAAAAATCTACCCTGCTATCACTTGATCACTTGACTTCCCATTACTCATCAATTTGTTCAAGAGGGCGCCAGTAATATCTCTATTCATCCCTGTCACATGCTAGTGTAGCCCAACGGTGTCTGCTTATTCTAGGAACACAAAGACCCTCAAACCGATCGTTCAGGGTCTTGATGAAGAAGTCTGACCATCTCATCTCGTAGGTGGCCGTAGTCTGTCCAAGATATTCAGAACAAACCTTCCCCGGAAATAGCAATTTGGCTTGTGGATAACCTTAAAGTCAAAGCAATTAAGCTACTACAAGATTATGAACAATATATGTCTTTGGTTTAAATATCTGAAGAATTTAAAATCAGAGAATTGAAATGTCAGTATCTTATTTCCAAAGCATGAAAGTTACATCTTAAAGCCTGGGGCCTGTGTCCGCAAATCGTTTTTTTAAATCTTTTTAATTTTGAGGAAACAAAGGCAGTATGAATTCTGAAACAAAAACCTGAGAAAAATCACATATCTCCTATAACACAAAGTTACTTGAACAAATTATGTGTATTAGGACTTAAAGTAAACTGGAAAACCTAGACTTTTTTAATTTAAAAATATTCTTGTTTAAATAAAGACATCATTGACAATAAGTTATTTACAATAGCAAATCAGTAATTAGAAATAATGGAAATCTGATTTGGGTTTCAGCATTATGCTTATAGACTAAATGATGGTACACTGCTATTTTTTGTTTCTTAATTTTGGGGCCACAGCTGTTTTGAGGGATTGTGCCTAGCTGTGCACTCAAGTATCACTCCTAGCAGTGTTTGGTGGTCACTTACTTACACTTCTGAGGATCAAATTAAAGTCATCTGTGTGCCAGGGAGGTATCCTACCCTCAGTACTAGCCCTCCAGTCCCTCGGTATAGTGCTACTTTACAAGGGGAGGTTTAGACCACACCCAGAGTGCTTAGTCACTCCTGGAAGGACTTGGCATTTCAGATAGGGTGCTGGGGATTGAACCTGGATGAGCTGTGTGCAAAACAAACCCTCTACCCACTGTACTACAGCTCTAGCACCTAATGTCATATTTTTCAAGACAGCTGTGTTTTTGTTTTAGCATATAAACTTTTATAGAATGCTTTATAACTTTCTATATTTTGTGGGGACAACGGCAGGAGGCACTCCACTGGAGGCTCCAAGTATATACCTGGTGATGCTTGTAAGGGTGGAAGTGGTTTATGATGTAGGAAGCCAAACCATGGTTCTAACATATAACTCCATGCTTCTTCCCAGTCCTTTAGTACACTCTTATGGAACTATTTTCAGTGCTTTATAAATGAATTATTCTTGGGTCTATAGCACAATTATAATACATCATTAAATCCATTAGATAAAGAGATAGCACCTAAATATTGATACAAGAAGTAATGTCTAAAATTTGTTTTATTAGTTGTCCTTATCTAGCACTTTAAGAGGTTTTTGTGTTTATAAATGTGAGAAATATCATATAAATTATTCCCTTTCTTCTTTTCCCCTTGGAGGGTGTGGGCCATACCTGACAGATCTTAGGACTTACTCCTATTTCTGTGCTCAGGAGTCACTCATGGAGGTACTTGGGGAAGCATATGGGGTGTGGGGGATCAAATGGAATTGGCAGCATGCAAAGCATGCTTCTCAACTTCTTTATCACTTTGATCCCTTGGGGTAATTATTTTATCTGGAGAGATTT